TGCATTGATATGTTTATGTAGTATTTGAAAAAAAAAAGACAAAAAATAAAGCTACTTCACTGTGATGCTCCTTTAAGGCGTTTGGCCGTTTAATTTCACTATTCTGTGCTTAAACGATCTTTTTGCAACTAACAGGTAAAGTCAAAAACAGCAGTTTAAGTTTTTAAATGATATTCGGATTTAATGCTCCCAAAACAAATTACTTGCAAAATGTAGAATTTGTATTAATTAATCTCCTGACCAAGACTTGGGCGCAGAATCTGATTTTTAGCATGAGAAATGTTAAGAAATACAGAACCAGAGCTCACAGATATGTGCACGTCCTTGATTGGTTGGTTTTCTGAAGAAGTATACATCAGCGTAAAGAAAATGTTATTTTTTGGTAGAATATGTTCCATGGAAGTTGACTGTTTAACACGCGAAATTCTTATCAAGCGTCTATTCGAATTCAACCTGTCTCAATTTAGTAGAGGTTTTGTTCCCGACATTGTTAATGTTTTACAAAAATACAGTTTGTATCATGTTATTGATGAATTTTTGAAGAGTGGTGTATTTCCAAACAAATGTCAATGGAAGCGTTTAGTCAATGACCATGTAAACAACTATGAACAGTTTAATTTATGTGAAAGAATGAACGCTGATAGGGACTTCTCTCGCTTCACTCTTTTACATAATAAGATACAACCGTATGCTATATGGAAACTTGCTTTACGCTTTCCACAATACAGTCCATGTTTTAAGAAAGTTGTTAAACTTTGTGTTGAAATGCGCGATAATGAAAATATATATTTGTGTCATTACTGTGGATCTATGCACAAAGATACTATTATGCATAGTGTACTCTAATGCTCACACGCAGAGCTATTATGTGACCAGCTCTGGTGTGTGTACTCAGTACTGTAAACTATATAGATTTTGTGTTTAATCTTAATGTAATGTCTAATTACCATCAACTTCATGTTCTTCTTGATGGTATGAACTGGAGGACTTCAGAATAAAATCCATTGTTATTATTACTAAAATTCTTCAATACAGTGGTATTATGTAATTTATCCATAGATATTTGAATGTTGTATACTGAGTAATATGATCACTCATTTACTTGTGTGTACCTCACGCTTCAGTAAGATGAATACATGAAATACATATATTTTTGTATTCATATTAGTAGGTAAGCATTTCCTACGTCTATCCTGTTGATTAGTGCAACTTACTACCATTCATAATAATGTTTGTATTGTATGAATTAATCTTGTGAGATGTATTACTACAACTGAAATAATTGCATGGTTGCGCTGTTTCTTGTGTATTTCACACCACTGTATGACTGTATTGTATGACTTGGTGCAACTGGTTCTACTCAATGTATGATTTATTGTAAGACTTATGTAACAGTAATACTGTCTATAATAATGCTGTATAATTTATAGTGTGATGCTTGTAATACTGTTTTTTACAATGTTGTATGATTGCTTAGTGCGAGAAGTGTATTACTGTCTATACTATTATATGATAATGTAGTTTGAGGAGTGTAAATATGTCTATTATATCAATGTGTGATGTAATGTATGATTAGTGTTATACTGTCTATCATCATAATTATCACCGTATAATGACTGTTGTAGTACCTATTAAATCATTGTGTTGTGTTTATAGTACTTTATGGTATGATCCGGGTACTATTATTATTCTCTTATGTGTGTGTCTGTCCATGTGCATGTGTGTGTCACTATGTAAGGGTGTGACCATGATTGTGAATTCATTTTCTTCTCTTTCAATAGTGTTGAATTGTTCGTGTATTGTTCGTTATTTCTGTAACTCTTCATTTCTGGAGGAAATAAAGGAAATAATAATAACCGTGGTTTAGTGGACCTGGGTGTATTTTGTGTGTAAGACTGCGACATTTATCGCCCTTGTAATACCTCAGTAAAGTGAAGCGTGAAATCAAAACGTAAAGATTAAACTTTGAAAATCAGTTTTTATTCAAAATAAATTGCTCTTATACAAATCAACCAGAATTATAGAAGATTGATTGCGATAATGCAATAATGCAAAGGAATGTGTATGATATAATCTATCCGAGGTATTCGTATAGTCAGTAGCACCGGGGTGACACCGTGACGAACATGTCAATAAAAAGTTAAATTGTCATTATTTAAACTAAAAAAGACGTGACTCTGTATGTCATGCTTAAACGACCGTGTAATCATCACTACGTGCCTTATGTTGCAGAACGTACGTGTAGGTTTACTTTTGATCACCTAGTTAAATTAGAAGTTTACACATTAATGCTGCAGACATTTGAACAATAACCATATTTTACCCCATTGAATATGACGTGTGTCTCTCCTATTTATGCATTTAGATGGTATCAGTCACTATAAAACAATAGCTGTCGTATTAGATAAAAATCTGGGTAAAAGTAAAGCATTTTTTCCCAGAAAGATTATACTTTAATGGCAGTTTTGTACAGTCACTTAACACCTCGCTGTGAAGTCGCTAGAGCACTTTGTAGTCATTTCCACTTGTTCGATGTCAAAGTCGCGTTTAACATGTAACATGTCAGAACTTCCTATATGTCAGAAAATAGTTAAAGCTGCATGTAAAATTTTCAACACATACATCATAAACTATGGAATAAATACGTAACGGCGGTGTTGCTATCGAAACACTAAAATCATTTTAAAACTATGTTGTATTTACATTATGTTTTGATTCGTATGCCTTTTCACTTTTTTTTTTTTTTTTTTTTTTTTTTTTTTTTTTTTTTTTTTGAATACACATTTATGGTAAAATAAAAGTGCCTTTGTTTATAGAATGCACCACATGTGTGCCGTAGCCGTGTCGTCTATACTGTCGTGTTCCCGTATATTTCCCGCGCTATCTTAATACTGCTCTGTAATTGTCACAGCATTTTCCTTTCTGACACAAGTTCCACCCTCGGAGTTTTCAAATTGGTGCAAAACGCTCGACAGAGCCTCGTATTTGTGCCCAATTTGAAAACCCCCTGGATGGAATTTCAAATCCTACACCTCTGAGCGTGAAATATAGTTTTAAATAATGTTGAATAATTATGTAAAGATATTGTTTTTATTGTAATAAATCAAGTTCAACTGGACAAGTTTTACGTATTGAATGGCAAAATCACGCATGCTTACCTGCTGTCAATTGTTTTGAATCTCAGAAAGAGGCCGATTGATGCTGTACTAACTGACAACTAGGTAAATCTAAACTACTATAAAAATCTGTTCATACAAAATGTACACTGTGTATCTAGCATATATACATATTTACACTGCTACCTGCACCGGAGTTTTAAATAAACTGAGTAAACGACAGCCTGCGTATACGTTCTGTGCTTTCTTTTGACGAAATCAGACGTCTTTATTGAAAACCGACTCAAACGACATCTTCATTTAATATTCTCGATTATTTTGACATGCCTTAAAAAACGGTGATCGTGCAGTTATCTACATTAAATACATGTCTTAATGTGCGTAATTCAGTTACACATTGAGAGAAAGCGCATACTTTTTCTCAACCTTGCAACAAGAATGGTGTCAAACTCGAAGATGTTACATCATACTTACATTAGGAGTTGTAGAGTGAATATAACAATATTGTTACTGTTTTAAAACATCAAGTTTACTTTGGCAGAAGGGCACAGAATCTTCCACAGATGGCACCCATTCTCTATGTGCACCTGTTCATACAATACATCAGTACCCCAATGTCCATCTCCAATATAACAGACTGCCATAAGTGACGAAAGCTCATAGAAATACGAACATGTAAATAAACATGGCGACTATTAAGAAGGAATGACTGGAGTTAGCAGTGGCGCCATCTGTCTGAGCCATCAACCTGACCGGACATACTTGTCCGGCTTTATTACTGCCAATCGACCGGATACTGTCCGAGAAATTTTCCATCCAGAATAAATTGACAGTAGCTACGATGGTTGCTCTGTGGATAGAAGAATGTGCCATATTATTTTTAAAACGTTTATTTCATTATTTAAAAATTTAGTATTACATCGACAGATACACATATAGTGTCGCAAGAGACGAAATATTGGTAATTGGTATAATGGTAAAAAAATCTGAAGAAAAAAATGTGTGAAATAAAACTTTTATCATGCATTTTGCAAAAATGTTAGATATTACAAGATAAAAAAATAAGTTATTCTTTACAATTCCATTTAAAAGAAAACCAGCACACCTTATTAGTCATTATTTAACTTAAAAAAGCGCCAGCTGTAACAACGCTCACCCTTGTACAACTGTAATAGATAAATTAATTAATATACCTAAATGTTTTTGACATAAATGAAAATTTGTTAATTTTGCATATTTTTTTATTTTGTGAATTTTAATACAAGCTGGTGTGTATATATATATATATAGTTTATCAAAATATACATTGCGTTTTATAATAATTCCTTTCACATGCTAATGTACTTACCTGAAGAACAATTTCCTGGTCTCATTTTTCGGTTTGTACCATCTCACGACCACATTTTCTTTGTTGATTTTCCATTTGCGGCTGACAACTGCACTCTGTAATACACAAGAACATGCTGAGGCTAAGATGTTTGGGTTATTCCCCTTTAAATGGATTTACATTGGTATATATATACATTATTGCTTTCTTGCATGGCCCGATGAAGTAAACTCAAAAGCAGTAATTTTGTCCTTTCGTTCAAAAGACAATACTGGCAACCAACTGTATATTCAACTATTGCTTATACACATTTTTGACTTTTTGGGTTTAAGAGCGTCGAAACGCCGAAAACAAAGAGTACAGAAAAGAAGTGGAGGATAAGTGCTTAGGTATGAATTACAAATATCAACCACTTGTATGTAATATGACACATTTTCCCTTTTTTTTACAAGCAATTGGGTCTAGCTAATAGTTTGTGTGTGATAACTACTTTGTTGAGTTATACTGTTTACAGGCGTAAATCTATATAAGACACAGAAACTACAGCTGTTTATTAGATAACTTACTTCCCTGACCTTCAGTAGTTATCAGCGTTACCCCCCTTTAATCATTGTTAACTACTCACGTCATGTCGCCCCGAGCAATGGATGAGTTCAACATCATCATAGCCGAATTCTTTCTCGAAATAGCCTATGGGTTCCTCTCGGTCAGTGGCCGAGCAGTCCGCAACACGTGCTTGAAGTGAGAAAGCGTTTATTTTGTACGGTCCTGTCGCTTTTATGGTCACTGGAAAGAAGATAGAATCAAACTGAAGATTAATATTTTCAATTAAGAATCACAAGCAGAATTATTGATTTCTGTAGTATCATTATATTGGAAATAACCACAGAGCTGCATGAATTGTTTCATATTTGAAAATACAAAACATGTAACCACACAACATGAATAGATTTTACGAAAGGTTTACATCAAAACTACGTTTAAAACAAATTGATTTCTTCGATATTGATTCATGGACATCAGTACAACTATTCTAGTCACCAAAGTGGAGACAATACAATTGTGTAGTCTCATTTTGAAACAATTGTATTGGTATGGTCATTGCCATAAATGCCAACTGGACGAGCATGTCAATAAAGCCGTGCCCATATATTGTCAACTTGTATGTCTGTTATCTTTTATAACTTCATGTGATGTTTCTTGTTTGCCTAAACTTCTGCGGAAGACGGAACTTTTAGGAGGCACACCTTTTAGTATCATGTTGAATCAAATCGCCTCTTTAGTTCCCTCATTGGATCCACTCCTTAATCTTATATTTGACCACGTTCATTAGTATTTACCTTTCTTTTTTCCACACTGTTGAGTCTCCATATATAATACCATTATCACGCCTCTTTCCCTCTATCGGAAACATCGAAGTCATTGTTAAGAAATGCAAATCTTAGTAAAACATCCTTGTGCAGCATATTCCTCAATCTCAAATTTTCCACCTGATCAATCATATACTTTATATATCTTGGATACTTTATATAGATTATCAACATCGTATCATGACACGCTGTAATTAGTTACCTTGCTCATGCGACACGCCGTCGTAGATGGTGTCTGAAGTGCTGATCTCATATGGCGGCTTTGTAAGTTGTGAATGAACACCTAGGGCCTCGGGGAACATGTCTTTACACTCTCTCTTGAAGTGGTTAGGGGAAAAAGGGTAGGGGATCGCCGATGCGATGTCGAACGCGCACACAAGTACGAACAGTACACTGACTAGTACGGCATGAGCCACGTGCATCTGTAAAATACAGAATAGTATATGTTAAGGAAAAATAGAAAAATAATTACTGCGTCAACGCAAAGGATGAAATTGGAACTCATAAACAAAAACATGAACCAAAATAACATCGAATCAAACGGAACGTCAACATCTGGAAAGATGGTCGGTGTGTGTAGCGTTGACTACAAATCTAGTGATGTGAGGTGAATTAATTATGTTGTTTCGAATCTAACATTTAATTTAAAGAAGATTTCGAGACTAGTCCTGGCTGAAGTATTGTTCCTACGTATTTAGCAAATCAGTGTGATTAATTCAGAGAAATCTGACAATAAAAAATCCCAGAACATAACATGCTGCCGATACCTTCTGAGATAAAATACATAAATTAACATAATAGATAAAAGTAAAAGAATAGGAAACGATGTGTGGATAAATACATCGATCCGTACATTGTATTAACCCTAACTTATATAAGGATACAAGAACCGATATGATAACATATCAACGAATTCAAACATGAGAAAAGCAGAGCTTTTGCTAGCTAATGTGTCTCACCTTGGTCAAGAACAGATGTTGACGACACGGCAACAGGTCCTAATCAAATGGTATAGCCAACTCGCCAGCTAGACTCTCCGCAAGTGTGAACCATTTAACGTAAGTTGTGATACAGTAATTTGTATTTAGCTAAAGTATGGTATAAAATGATAATCTGTTTTCTATTGCCAGGGGATATGGACGCTGTGACGTTGATGGAAACAATGTTTGCTTGGAAAGTGACTTATACTTTATATAAGATCAGAGTGTTTCTGTCAAATACAGCCGCAGTAGGGAGTGTTTTCATAATAACCCCGCGCTATCCTGGCCTACAAAGCTGAAAAAGGTCCCGCGTTTTTTGCCCTTGGTCATGGCAAAGGTGATATACAGAAACAAGGTAGACTATATCCAGGATATAAATTGAACACACCCCATATAACGACGTTTATACCACTGACAGTCGAGGTAATGGCTTTGAAGAAGGGCGACGGTCAGGAGGTAACCTAAAGGCAAAATATGTTTACTTGTGAAAAGCTGTTCTAGTTTCACATTAGGTTAAATAACATCGGATACAGACATAGTGTTGTCGTATGTGTACTCCTGCACATCATGACGTCACAGACGTACACACTTACATTGATAACATTGCCCTTCAGTTTTAAGATTAGAAAGGAACACTGCAAAAAAAAGGATATTACAGCCATCGGTAATTTCGTGTCCAAGTAAATATATTAACTTGCTATGTATTCCCTACACATTCCTTTCCTTAGTAATAGATCCAGTTTATTTCTGTTTATATAGTTCGCCCATCACAGTTGATATGCTAATTGTTATTTTGATAACAAAAAACAAAAAACACATGCATTACTCGACCCGGTGTACTAGAAAATTAATTGAGTGGATTTGGTTTCGACCGGAGACGCGTTGCATTACACACAAGAAACCATTTGAGGTCGTAATTATGTCCTGATTTTAAATATAAAAAGAAAATAGTCACCGTATTTCATCCCTTTTAAGTCTCTCATAAAGTGTTACTATCTGTGTTATTGGTTACGTTAGGGAAATAATTAAAACCAAAACGTCCAGGTTTGTCATTGACCGGATCTTAATGCATTTTACCTTAAATGGTATTAAAGCGATATTGTAATATCGAATTAATTTGGAATTCAAATATCGGTGTCAATAATTAAGTTACTCAATTACCAATGATACAGTTTTCTTCCCTTTCCGGTTACAGTTTGCTACGGTTATAAGTTAATTAACAAAACAGTGCATCATGTGCATGTTTAAAGTCGCTATACAGATTCGTTAAGATTGAATACTTATAGTAGATATGGTAATAAGAATGAGAAGACCTGTGTAGCTTGAGATTCCGGAAGCAATTGTGGCCGGAATTGCACTAGGTTTGTTGCGATCATTAGTATTTTAAAGGATAACCTATGATTTCAATGACTGTACATATAACATACCGAAGTTTATAGGAGAAGGCTTATATAGGCTTTGCCTGATGCCCCATTCCTTTGCATATTTTTTGCAATAACATTTGTTGAAATAAAAATAACCTAAGTGTTTATGCTTCATGTATCTTGATGAATGTGTGTGCGAGGATATATATATCAAAAGGGAATTTGCAACGCTGCACGCAAGCCCAACTACACCTGCCCTCCTGACCAAAACTCTTGCTAGTACTAATTCTGGCTGCCATTTGTCATTTTACCATATACGTTACGACAAATATTGTTAATTTTCCTTCCTAACAAGTAACATACAAGCCTTCCTTGTTGATTTGCAAAATCCTTCATCTGGAAAGATGAGTTCTTTAAGCTGATAAAGTATGCACCTAGCGATTCCAATATTTTTTAATCTTGAAATTATTATTTCTTTCACCATTTCGCTGATTTAAGTAGGGACTAGCACGTTGTTTTGAGTGGCTATACTGGCGATTAGAACATGAAATTTGGTTTGAACTCGAGACCGATAGGTCATTAATTGCATTGAGTTTAAACTCAAGCTGTAATTTCCCATTGGTTTCATATTTTAATAATATTGAACATTGTAAACTTTTACAGCAAACGTCAGCTTCCTTCAATTTCAAATGACAATGCAACGACAATTAATTGACTAAAACAAGTGTCAATAAGGTGAAATTTTGCGCGGAGAATAAGAAATGCATGTTTTCATATTGGCCGCCAAATTGTCATCTGTTTTTAAAAAAGTAATTGAAAACTTATTATGCGAGCTTTTGAAAACGTCTGTTTCCCTTGTCAAGCAAAGAATACAGCGATTGCACTCATTGCTTGACAAAGGAAACAAACCTTTTTTAAAAGCTCGCAAAACATTACAACCTTAGCATTTTTTATTATGAGATTTGGACGTGGTTTAATCCTCAGAAGGGCAAATGCTTAAAGTACAAAATACTTCATTTTTCAGTAACCCTAATTTGACTTTGTTCAAAGAGGGTTTGGTTTGATTATACATTTTCAAAATACTTTACTTTAATTTTTATTATGAACTTAACAACTATGAAGAACGTGATGAAGTTTACTAGCAATTCTTTGCTGACAGAGTCCTTTAGAATCGTAATTAAAACGTAATGAAGTTTACTAGCGATACTTTGCTGACAGAGTCAAATTTTCTGCCACAAAAACAATTGTTGATGGCCTTCCAACTTGTGCATAAATGACAGTCGTTTACTGTATAACCCTCTCTAATGACCATTAGGTGATACATGTTCCATCTGCTGGGGCTAGTGAAAGAATCTGATTGTCGACTTCTATGTGATATTTGCAAAACACAGAGGCGTATTATTTATCATTTTGTTTCATCACAAAACGATAATTTAAGATAAGTGAGAGCGAAGATAGTATAGGTTAAAGAGAAGGTGAGAGAGTAATGGTTATATCTGATAGGGGAATATACTGTTAAGGTAATAGGATTGTGTCACCATTTCTCAGTAGAATTTGCAGTTATATTGCTTTGAAGTAAAGAAAATTTTCTGCCACAAAAAAAATATAGGTTGTCAGTCTTTTAAGGATTTTAAATGGAAATGTATGTAAAAAGGTATTTTTGCAAAATAATGTCAATAACAATAATACTGATATAGATTAGTATTGCATTAATGTATATCAATTTAATAAATGCTGAAATTGTGTAAAATTAATTATCTATAGACGATTGAAAATTGACATTTTATAATAAAACCATATTATACACATAGTAATTGCATGTAGTAGTTATCGTTCTTGAAAAACTTCACAGTAGTGAAATAGGTAGCCGGTTTCCTGAAGTACAGAAAAATGGAGACATGTGACTCGTTGATAAAATAACAACTGAATGAATGTCTGGATTGCTTTGAAATACCCTAATATTGAGAGAATACACTGTTCTGTCAGTAATAAACATACAATATTCATCAGTTTAATATTAAACATTAGAATATGCGGAAATTGTGATACTGTCTCCCTACATTGGATTTTCAACTAGGGATGTATTTCCTATTTCCGTTTAGCAATACACTCTTATGACCTTAAATATCGGAAAAGTTGACCATTTTAAGGTAGACAAATTGAAACAAGGTGAGCAAAAATGCCGCTATGTTACATGTACTATGCATAGATAATACCTTTTTGATAAGGGCTTACACACTGTTTTAGTAATTTATAATATCGTACTGGAGCGGCAAATTGATCACTGGTTTTATCAGCATTCAATGTACATGTTGCACATGCCAATGTTTTTTCGATTCCGGTTTATTCAATTTATTTTCCGTTTGTTAATTTGAATCTTTTCTCGTACATATTTAGACATAGTATGTCGGATAAAAGGATGAGCTGTGTATTGGATTAATCATAATAAAATTTAAAAAAAGAAAAAAAAAACACCAATATGTGTTTATTGCAAATTGAATATCTCAACACCGATGTAGTTTCTAGATTTATTTGCATATATTTGTAGAAACAAAGTTTTACCCACGGATATTCTAATAAACGATTTGTAATACAAATGATAATAATTCGAGGTTCGTTTATACCGCTTTATCACAACCTAGTTCGTAGGTCGTCTCAAGCGGTTCACAAATTATTATCCGTGGTTATAGGGTCTTGCAACCAGCCAATATCTTACTCAACTCCCTGCGTAGCATACAGCTGGTGCTGCCATATCAGTGCTCACAGCTAGCATTCAATAAGTATAGCGCTGCTCAACCACGTACTCATTTACAGCTGAGTAGACTGGAACAAGCGGAGTAAAGTGTCTTGTTCAAAGATACAACACAGTGCCGTGCCGTGACTCGAACCCTTCGGTCACGAGCCCAGCGTCCTACCATTAGACTACCGTGCATCCTACCGTACCTTTGTGTGTACAGTTATTCAATTTTAATAACATGAATCAACTGTTTTTAACATTTTGAAATATAGTGAATCATGCTCAAATCTTCAGTAGTCTACATAAAGGTATAAATCATCTCTGTTCTCATATTAAGTAAGACAACTCTACAATACAAAAAAAAAAAAAAATCAAAAAAAAAATCAACATCTTTTTAGTTTCAAGATGGGTTCTGATTTGATTTCTTTTTTGTCATATTCATTTTCTCTGCTAAAAATACTTAAAATGTTTTGGTCTTTTTTTGAGTAAAAAGAATCCAAAGTTTCCGTGAATATTACAATGATAATAAAAAAAACCCAGCTAAACGTCAGTGCTGCAAAGGTCTAGGACTACTGAATTAACTCTTTCATGATTTGTGTGGATGTATTTATTGATTTTCCTAATCAAGGTAAGCTCTAAGTACCCTTAATTTTACAAAATATTTCTCCTATTATCTTACAGAGACACCATGTGCCGTTGGTATGCCTGTCATGATACAATTCTAAAACGGATCAATATGCAATGGAATTATTAATAATATCAGACAGCGCAAACGGTATATAGGATACTGCTCATTGGGGATAAATCATACTGCTCACATGGTACATATCCTTAGTTAATGCTTTTCACCAGAATGATAAATGTCAAAAATGATTAAAAGTTCCTATAAATCAGCAGAAACCCTTCCTTTAGTTTATTATTTTCATATATTAAATATTAATTGGTTGTAGATAAGACACATATTGTTGCCTATAAACAAATCATTGACTGACATAAAACACATAACCTAACGCTGCAACCCCTTTCGCCTAGTCGACATACATATATGGCATGTTAACACTTTAACACTACAACACTGCAACACAAATGTGTATGGACATTGTTACATCGCAATTCATACTAGAAACAATGGAAGGAGGGGGATGACTGTCGATAGAAATAAGTTGTCGCCGACTTATGTTGAAACTAGCCGAGAAACTGAATTTTCTTTCGTCTTCTTCTTGTGTAGAAGACCAAGACCGAGAACAAAAAAAACCGTCCAGGATGTGGGAAGGATTGGCGTTAACACGCCAGTAGTATTTTCCAAGCATACCACGCTGTTGTTTACTTCCGGTTAATCGCAGTCCAGTATCGACCGAGGTAATGCAATCGGCTTCAACATTGGTTTTCAATGACCCAAAATCAAGTGTCCAGTTCATCGCAGAAAAATACTAATAAGCAGAGCAACCATGGTAAACGAAAGTGTGTTGACTTCAAATGACTTGCTTGCGCTATTTTCTTTAGCAAGAGATCCGGACGATGGCGGTTTATTTGTTATGGTCTCTGATTGACAAGATATCCCGTCATCCTCTGCTGTATCACTGATGTGACGGATGACCTCTGATTGGATCCCGACCCAATATGTCTGTTCGTCATCCACAACAGTAGCACTAAAAATGGTGAGATAATCAAATAATTAGGACCACAAAACAAATTGTTTAAGAAACAGTTCACTCACATAACAATAATTTTACAACATGAACAGTTAATTAATAAGAATGATTAATTTGAACTACACAGAACTGTGCGTTACTTACAGTACTGACCATTAAAACAGGAATTATGTTCAAGTATATCTATGAACAATATACACTGTACCTTTAGCAGGTTTCAGAAGCTTTCTTCTGTCAATGCTATGTCAAGTCAAATTACATATACAAATGTAACATAGAATCATTTGACATTAACTTGATATAACAACATTAACACAGTATGTAATTATGACACTCACTAGAACCGAATCTTTCTCTGTTCAGTAGCCGGAACTTTCCATGTAGCTTCCATGCTATCATCCAGTCCCCAGTTAAGATTCGTTATTGCGCTCTGGTTTTAGAGAAGAAAAAATATTTGAGATACAGTATCAAGTATATTTTCAATAATATTACTCATAGTATATATTGAGCAACAACGTTGTTGAAGCCTTTAAGAAATTGTGTTATAGATAAAGATAGATATTCCAAGAATTGTGTAAACATTTCGCCACAGGCAAACTGTGTTTTGTTTGTGTGTTTGGTGTTTAACGTCCTCAGAACAGCAAGGGTTATATAAGGACGATGGCAAACAGAATCAATTTAGTTTATCATAAACAAATGCTTGCATAAAAACGGTTTGTGGTTAAGCGAACTTCGGTTTAATATCTGTACACGTTTGAAGTTTAGCCTTGTGATATTGCAATAATTTAAATATACAAACAATGGCGTTTTAAAGGAATTTGGTGGTATACCGATGGCATCCTCTACATGTAACGATTGTCACGTTTTATAAGATAAAACCGTTATGTTATTGTTACGAATTACAAATGTAAGTAGGATCTAAAAATCTGAAATGTATTGTTATTAGTTGGAGGTACTTACATTTGTTTCCTTAAAGCAGTTGATGGGTTTCATTTTATAAGATCCTTCTACATTGGTGAAACTTCCAATAGGCATCATGCTGCCAGGTTTTCCCGGAAGCGGACATTCGGCACTCCTGGCCTGTATAAGTATACCTCTTATTTTGCGTGTTCCGGTTGATTTGACAGTTACTTTAAAGACATAAAGAGTTGGTCATTACTACACAAATATTCTTTTTAACTTTTTTATATAAAAAAGAGCTTTCATTATGAATATGGCCAAAGGTAACAGTATGAAATCAAAGGTTCTGTCAAAATATCGTTATAACCCGCTCTTGCATAAGCCTTGTACAAATTCAGCTTACCAAATTACTACATGTAAAACATAACAATCATACAATGAACCAGCCTGACATTTGGTACACCCCCATGGTAAAATCGATTGAATGGTTAAAATTCTTCTTGAGTGTCAGCTATTCTTCAGATTGACCTGGCAGGGAGTATCCTTAACCTACCTATAAGTTCCATGCCTACACCGTGCATGTTCATGCTGACGCTGATATTATATGGAGGTGGCCCTCTCTGAGGTGGTGACGTCAGCTGTGACGGTATCATCTTCCTGCAGTCCACATCTGTCTCACCAAACGGGTAAGCATTGGCCAGGGAAAGCAACGCTAACGAGATGGCTGCTTGGGTCAAGGATATGCGGTCAAATGTCATGGTCTGAAATGAAAGTTTTTTTTCACATTTTAGGAGGTATTGTTATCACTCAGGAATCGTGCAGCTAGGACACGTATTTGAGCATTCCATTGGATTACAGAGCTTTCTCTAACATACACCAATATCTATTAAATGGTTTTTGTTATGGAGGATTCCCTCAATTATTATATTCATTGTTGATACATGTTAGTTATAACCAACGATAGCGTTTTGAGTTTAAAAAATACAATGGGGCTAGACTGGGGTTCGAACCCAGCATTTCAGATATTGTTATACTTTATGCTGCTCTAACCGACATAGCTATCCCGTCATCAGAAGTGTCCTGGCTCAGCTGTACTACAGTAACATCCAAATCGAAAGTAAAGGGAGGTCAATGTAAACACACTTAGCAGTAGGACAGGGATGTTAAATATTGAATTTATTTTCAATGCATGAAACTTATTTTAAGATATGAAAGAAGTTAACAAACATGTATGATGAAATATCGAGTCACATCCTTATGGACGCAAATCAATTATATGCACGTCGTATGAAACCTGTTGTAGCTTATTTTTAAATATGACTAACGCTTTTCATACAGGCATACTCCGTCCTATGTGGATTTTTTTCGTGATTTTTATTGTTGATTAATCCAATACAAGAAATTCACAACACATGCGATCGATGTTAAAGCGTTTGTATCGCCAATGCAAACGGTATGCATGTAACAGTCTAACATCACTTATGTGTTTGATTCTTATGATGATCTCAAATGTTGCTAAACGGAAGGAGAAACATCACAATGACACTGATCTCACAGCATTCATGGTCGTATGAAAATGTAGACATAAACCTTAATACTAAACTATATAAAGATTACATGTGTTTATATCATTCAAACAGTCATCAGATACAGTAGATCATTGCATGTTTATTTAAGTTGAACACTCAACGATTATCTGAGTTGGTACGAACACAAATAAAAAAAAATACATAAGATAAAGATGTGTAGGGTATATTGAGGTCAGCCCATCGATTGTACAGAGATAAGAAGGCTAGCTATAGCCGCCTTAATGACTACAGCAAGTCCTTCCTATGGACTGCAATCTGTCATAGCCGGACACTCGCTTAACGATAACGACATGTCATGTGACCAATCAGACGTAGAAGAAACATTGTTTTGACATGGACACATGATAGTGTTTACTTGTATAAGTGTACTTGTCTTGTTTACGGGCCAGAAGAACAGGTCAAATGACAGGTGTTAGCATTTATGAGAGCATGTGTATAACGTACTCCAGATTTTAATTGTTTTCATACAATTGCTATTGTAGATGTAACAAACATAAATATGAAAGTCTATTGTCCCCTTTCACGAATATAGATAAGAACGTAAACATGCATCAGTGTACTATTATTTTTGTGAGAATGATGTTCATTCGGTAATGAATATCGCCGGGATAAAAACAAATTTGCGAGGGATAGTTTCCTTGTCTACTTTGATTAATAGTGTGTGGTGATCTAACGAAATCATGCTACTTTAAAAGCATTTATCTAAATAATAAAACACAAATAATTCTAGATCGTTTATGCTGTAACGACTTAAACCAGTAGAGACTAACTGTTAATCGTAAAAAGACTGTAAAATGAGTCATTCCCTTAATGCGTTACAAATAAATAAATACCATAAATAAATTCTCCTTTAAAGGAGGATCATAATTAGTGTATACTCTAAAGAGTTATAAATAGGTAAAATATATGTATCGGTTGTTGAAATACACATTACACTTTAAATACGAAACTAACGGCGGTACATTTCATATGTACTTATCAACAACACATTACAGCACTAAAAATGTCAAACACAGCATTTGTAAAACCTGAATCACGGTGCGCTCTGGTAGGTCTGCACGCGCCCTCGGGGCGCAGAGGTCTCGACCTCACCCCAAACACATCAACAACGTGTGGCGCTACTGTAAAGGTGCATTTGTATGTGTGCCAATTGCCTATAGTAATTTTGCGTTTTACTTCTTCTAGAATTGTTTCAATCAAGTTTGTGCATAAAATTACAACAAAATGTAAATAAAGCGTTATGCAAATTTTCTATCGGATAGTTAACGTTAGTTTGCTTTTAAATCATAACTTTTCCTTCCATAAATGATTTTTTCTGATATAAGGGTTCCTTTTGTGTACTAGCTTGATACAAAAATATAGATGGTGAATACAATGTAGCAAACAAACCAGGTTATTTTGGTTTATGTTAGAATGATAAAAATATGCTTCACTAAATCCTTTTACTTATTCAGTATGATTAAAAAACATTACATAGATAAAAGTATTTTTTCGAACAATGTTGGAGAAGAAATTGCTAGAAATTTGATGTCAATTCAATAAATGATTTAATGCACGTATTTTTCTGTTTTAAAAGGATATGTATACATATGATCTATTTATATAGGAACTTACACGACTTTCCATTTTTTGTTCTTAGACTCCTTTTATAAATGGTATATAAATCCAAATGAATTTAAAAATTAATCGCATCCTGCAGGAGTTAAAATCTTATAGAAAAAATTCCAAATGAAAAATATTAATGAAAATAAAACGGAAAACTACGCAAATTTAGTTGTAACATTAGCATGTAAAAAGTATATAAGATGAATGATAATGCTCTAAGCTTGTTTGAACTCTCTCACTTACCGTAGATACGTCTGAGCCTGTTGCCGGGTCAGCTATAAGATTATGTGGCCAGTAGTTTTCTTCCATATATAAGAGCGTGCCAACCACACAGACAACCATAATAATTTATCACCGTCGCGCTTTGTAGGGTGCAGTGCTTACTCATAGATCAACGGTTATAATGACCACTGTCATTTGTACTGTCCTCCCCCACTGACCAGACGTCTTCCTGAACACAGGGGAGGTCTTCTCAACACATCCGATTGTAGATCAGTCACTGAAACTGTTTAAGTTAAAAGAAAAGCCTTATTTGGCCCACCAGCCATACGTATCCCCATCAGAGATGTTGCAGAACAAATGATTGAAAACTTATCAAGATAAATTAGATCAGTCACTGAAACTGTTTAAGTTAAAAGAAAAGCCTCATTTGGCCCACCAGCCATACGTATCCTCATCAGAGTTGTTGCAGAACAAATGATTGAAAATTTTTCAAGATAAATTAGATCAGTCACTGAAACTGTTTAAGTTAATAGAAAAGCCTCATTTGGCCCACCAGCCATACGTATCCTCATCAGAGATGTTTCAGAACAAATGAGTGAAACCTTAAAAAATAAATAAGATAAATAAGGTAGTAAATATTAACGATGAGATAAATTTTGGTAAGTAAGATATCTTACAATTAAAATTAATTTAAAAAAAAAAACATTTACAATAGGGTTAACGTGTTAGTAAAACACCAAACACTAAGACTTATCAGAAATCGATGAAACAAGAATAATTATAATAGTTAGTGTTTGACTGACTGTCTTAGTAATGCTTACCTTATAACTTAGTTATGTCGTCGACGCTTTAAAATGAATATTCCAAACAAAATCGTTCCCGAAGTGAATGTATAATAATATTTAGGATTCAATCATTTGTATATGAAATACAATGAAAACTTACTAGATGTCTAGAATAAAAAATATCCGGGTTAACTTATCATCTGACCCAAAGGAATAAGGAAATGGGGCTTTAAATAAATAAATAGATAAATAAAAAAACTACTTAGAGCCTGGATTTTTTTGTTTGTTCTGTACTGAAGTAGTTAATTTGTATAATTTGAATAAAACAACCTTTATACGTATGCACAGAAACAATGATTGTAATTGAATTAGATATGTTAGAATATACTTAGAAATATCAAAACATGTATTCTTAACATGTTCTAGTTATAATTTTACTACACAAGCTCTCGGCCACCAAGATCGCTGGACATTTTACTTTTCAGTATGGCTCTAAATCATATCGGGTCAAAAAGTCGAGCCGGAGACGATGACGTCAGATATCGAGGACCAAACACTAAAGGGTGTTCACCTAACATATGTATAGGCTTCAGACAATTATTGATTTGACTATGCGTTCCGTTTAAGAAATACCATTATATAGCTCTCTTTAACATGCTGTCCCCGGGTTTACAAAGGTTGGTTAGAGTGAACCAGTTGTAAGGGAAATTTTCAAAATTGGATACAATAAAATCAAGAACATCTAATATCAAGGCGTTGCTAACGATTGGTTGACACAAATGAGATTAATAGGTTTTGAAAATTAACTTTGCTTTAAAAACCTTAGTTTCTCATTGGCAACAATTTAATTTTTTCACTGACCACTGGTTAAAGTGAACCATCTTTTGAGCAACTTGGGCTTGGTCGTATTTATTTTAACATTTGGGTCGTTCTTATAATTTGTTATGTTCTTGCTGATGGTTATTAATATCTAAGATATATTATTTCAATGGATTTAATAGGATAGAAGATGAACGCATGCAACTACTAGCCCCTATGTCCATATCATATAATAAAACAATTTAATTAAAAAATCACTCCCGTTGTTACATTTGTAGCTAGCTAGGTGATAAAATTCCGGTTCAAGATATTTCCAATGATTGTCCAAACTGATTTCAAAGTCTCTAATTTTATTATTTCCGGCATTAGCTTCCGACAGACAAACAAGGGACTTTGATCTCCCACACGTTCAGATGTTATGTCTAGAAAACCATAACATTCTCTTGGTGATACATTATTCGTGTTTCCGCAATGGGAAACAATTACCATGAACCATGCCGTCACAATGGTTGATGACGTCACAATGGTTGATGACGTCACAACGGTTGATGACATTCCAAGGCATTGTTACTTGAAAACACAAGAACATATGAGAATATAAAACATACAAACTCCCTCCATTGTTATGATATTGAGCTCATTTCAGTACATCAGCTAGCAGAGGATATCCAGACAACAACATCAACTCATCGAAATGAATATCAAGTTAACATAATTATGTCATGTATCATCACGCGCTGCCTCATGGCTAATTCATATACAATGTATACAGCAGTGTCCATGTGTTGCTGGGTTGTGAAGGTTAATGATGTGTTTGAGTTTTATTCTTGTGTACTCTTCATTAGTTTGAGTTTCCTGTCGAATCCAGATATAGAGTATTGTATGACTCGATTAACTATATGAATAGGAATGCCAAATGTAAACCCGCCAACGTTGTGAATATTGTTTATAGGTATTATTTTGATTTGGTTAATGACATTTCGTCCAAATTGAAACCTCAGGATGTTTTACCGGATCTTGCTAGTACACCTTCGTCCTTCCAACTGTTCTTCTATGACATACTTTAAAATATGATAAAGTAATGTATTTAATAGGGAAACTGCTTTTGATTTGTTGTCAATACTTGTGTAACTTATTTCCATTTGGGGTTTTTTTGGAAGCAGACGAATGAGTAATCACTTAAAATATTTTCCATAAATTAAACTTGTGTATTTAAAGTATTAGTATCAATGTCAAATTTCTTACTCGAGAATACATTTCAGTTTAAAAATGGTATTGAGGTCAGTAAGGTAAAGGTAAGAGAACGCTTGTCATAGACAAATGGTTTCTACTTGTCAAACAGGCTGCCTACGGAAGTGAGTCCCCAAGGCAAGAAACCGGAAGCAGAGTATTCTTATTAATATAGCGCTGTGTCATCCGGAAATTCTCGACTATTGAGTCATACTATTACAAAAAAACATTTTTACAAATGCTCGTGCATTATAACCGTTTTTGTACCTCTCTAGAAATAATAGTGGAACAGGTGTTTAGTTCTATTTTTTCTGCAGCGATGTAAACATTACAATGTCATGTCAAATGTATTGCCGCGAAGAGTCCTCAAGTAATGGACATTTAGTGCAATAAATTCAGCAAAACATACAGGAAATCAAGATTTACTGCACCGGTTTATATCACTTCTATATGGGTTTGCTACGAACAATGATCCGGTTAACCCACCATAGCCGGGATTGTTGATACAGTGTTAATGTAAATAATGCAATACAAAATAATTTTCCTCAAATTACACAAAAACATTTCAGTATAATTTTATCAAAAAGATATTCACATTTGAAATGTCGATTTCCTGTGTCATAACAAGCTACAACAGCTGGATACAAGCTATTTTTGGTCTATGAATTCGATACATATATATGTACTACTTAAAACCGAAGTTACTGTGCGTGAGTACTTGTGTAATATCTAATTAAACTTCTTTCAAATCTTTTCAGCAATATATAGTACATCTTGTCTTACCCCATGAATAATTTCAAATATTTGAAATTAAAAGAATATTTTGTCAGATATAGTTTTCATATTAAGACTAAGATGACCAGTCTGCTTGATTGTACAATTTCATACCGTTTAAACGTGAAATATTTTTAACATTCTGTCGTCATATAAACTAAACGGAGAAGATTTATCATTTTTTGTGAAAGTAAATAAATAAGTGATTTTTGTTTTTTACATTTCTTGTTATTTACTACCAGAGGATGAGCAGTGGATGAGTCACGTCTTTGAAAAATTACCCTTCACGTACATTACTACGCATCACGTGATCCAAACAAATAGGGCCCAATTTTTATTAGATCTTTTTTCTGTAACACATAATACAAATGATATAGAATAAATCACCGACAGTGTTTATACATAAAGCTGACAATGTTAAACCTTTCTCAGCAAGTAAGTGTTTAGAGGGAAATTACCCCAAACATATTTGGTTTAGTTTACAAACAGTACTCAGTATATGAAAAATGTTTAATGTGTTTATCTAAAGCATGATGAAAACATTGAGTACAAAACAGGACTTACGCCATAGTAAAACATTACATTACCAGGTTTAATGTAAAGTGTAAAACGTAAATATGCAGGTGACTTGAAATTAACTTGATGCTTTAAAAAGGGTAACATTAATGTTGAATGCAAAACTAGCAAATATTTCTAAATAAACGTAATTAATAAAATAATAATCAAATTAATGCCTTAATGACCCTGTCCTCTCTTAGCCGTGGAGGTGAAAATATTTAATCAATGACCAAAGTCCATATGAGTTCATTGTTATCTGAGGAGATTGTACCTGAAGTGCACACACTGTTCAGACAGGTATGTTGTATGTCTGTCAGTGTACTGCCATCAGTCGCCAGGCCACTGTCAGACTAGACAGGTAATGGAGTCCAGCTAATGGTTTACAAATAAGAAGGTGATACTTGATGTATTACTGTTGTAGCCAGTGTAGGCCTTAGACTATTTTACAATGGCTATATTTGTGATATTCCCCTTTCTAGATCACGACTTGAAAATTCATTATTACGATGATGTTCTTTTATTTTACCACAAAAAGCACAATTCTAAATGAGTAATTTATAGCATTTTTGGATAATGATAAAATGTGATCCTTTTGACAAGAGGCAGCATGCGTTCAACACATTATACAGTAATATCTTAAGTTGCTTACTCCGGAAAGAGTAAACCCAACCAGAGATGTTGATTTACATACAACCCATATCAAAACCTCAAAACATAGGATAAGACATTTGTCTGGATATGTAAATATAGACCTTTCTTAAAATATCTTTCTCCATTTTTAAGTATGTAATGCTTAGCTTTTGAGAATGTGACACTTTTGACTATATTTCTTTCGTTAATAAACAAGTATGTATCTAATATTTGAAAAAGATTGGTATATTTATTGTCGCAAGTGGCAGCAAGGTAAAAGATGTCATCCATAAATGTAATTTTAATAAAACAAAAATACCATTAACAGAGAAACAAAAGTGTCGGTCTAATATCACGTCAGAAAATGATTGAAGAAATATCCTTTTTGATTTTTTATATTAATATACCATTCATGTTACAGAAAAACCTATTATTTCAATCAGCTAATATGCTAAAATCAGAAATGATAAAGCCTCTACCGATAGTCTTACTATAAAGTCATATTTCATTGGAATGCAAATGGCTCGATTACCGATTAATATTTAATATTATGTCTCATTGATAAAAACTCCAAAAATATATCCCTGAACTTTTTGGATTAATCTAGTGCATTAATTCTCTAAGCTTAGGAGAGAGGCTTAAGTTAAATTAATTATTCTGAAACTTGGGTTAATATTCATGCTATATGGACAGCAAAATATCGATATTCCGAATTTATTGGAACCGAACTTCACGAAACACGACAGTATTCGTGTATCCGATTTTGCATTAACGACGTTCGATTGAGTATGCATTTTTTTTACCTCGGTCAAGAAATGATTCAAAGAATACATATCCGTTTCCTTTAGATAAATATGTAACTGTTATAGCATGCACGATTTTAGTGCTAACACTGATAAATAAACTGCATACCGGGTAATTTTAGCAGCAGTTTTTGTTATAAGTTTTTGCCTTTTTCGCCTTCTTGAATGAGGGCGAAGTTATCATCACAGCTTACATTAGACAAGAACATAATTTACATATTAATAATATGTGAAAGGCGAAATAAACCATGATCGAATTTGGACTTCACAGACGAAAGGTAGACTTAGCGAAAATGTCACAGTATGCATGAAAGTCTCTTTTTTTCAAGAAAAATACGACTACAATAGTGTGAGAGAGGTTGTTGGCTGTTTATTAGACATTTTATTTCAGACATTGTTGATCTGGACGTGATGTTCAATATCAAATTCAAATCGATGTGCAAATCAGAGTGCCCATCTCTTGTTTATTTCAAACGTATTAGCATGTGTTTGTTACTTTTGTGGGTAATAAAACAGTTTACAGTTCAGCTAAAAAATATTCTTATTGAACTGAGATACTTAAATGAAAACAAAAATAACTGTTTGAACAAGTTACATTATTACTGTGTTTATTTTACTGATACATGGTCATATTTGCACAAAAAAATAAGTATATGAAATGCAGATGTGACCAAAAAGCATTGATACACCAATCTTAGCAGAAAAAAACATGGTCAATTTTAATTCAATTTATCGTCGAACCTTTTGACTTTCAGACCAGGAAGTTTAATATGGATGTTTAATAACACAGGTATTATTACTGCCTAACAACCTATCAAAATATTTTGATGGAACCCTTTTCAATAATTGGTTCTAAAGAATTAAAATAAATGTTGACCTAACCCTTGACACGTTTTATATATGATTGGTTATAAGCAAATACGAATAACCAGAGTGAACGGTATATTCAGTAAACAGTTTTTTGAAATGTGATATCAGTTAAACCTATGGCAGACTAACTTATGACTTCAGGCTTATTATATACGTGTCAGGTGTGTTGATAATGAAAATACAACCCAATGAAAGGATAACAAATGATAACTACTGTCGATTGTGGTCAGGTGTCAACTCAGACGTGTATTATCAGACGGCTATATATCACCACATATATATGTATCATTATGTTAACCTCTATATTATCAGTATAGTAAATCACTATGTAGTATCTATCATGTACTGCTGAATATCATCAAGATCATGCTAAAATAAGTACAAACGAAACGAAGCGGGATGTAAATATTCTCGGAATACACCTCTACGTGATGGAGGATTAACTAAACTTGACACACACTCCCTTCAATGTTTACCAAATGGCTGGTTGTGTATAGACACTTGAAGGATGTAGTTTGCCGTCATAAATTATTCATGAGCTGTGACGTGATTTGACATACGAAACGTATAGATGAGGTCGAAGGAGACGGATACGTGTAGTAAAGTTTGATGAGATTTAACTTTATAACAGGTTCTACCACAGATCAAGCCACATATGCCCAGATCAGGAGTTGTCATAGTTGCCGAACGTTGAGGTGTATCACTGACATTTGTGTTTTGGGATTAATAAGTACCGTAAATTGTACTCAAATATTTTTCAGTGTCGTGATTATTAATTTTAAGAAAAAATTACCCTTCCAGAAAACGTTTACTTATACGACTCGAAGATTATAAACAAATTTCAAAATGGAGGAACCAGACGCTATAAGAGATAAGACGGGATGGAAAAGTTATGGAACAAGCCAGGCTATTGGAATGCCCGATTTAAAATTGGAACCCGTAACGGACGTTAACAGGATCACCAAAAACAATTCGAAATGTGAAGCTATCAAAATGACACTAAAAGATAACCTATTATTGATTCTGCTTATCATTTCTATGGGAATCGGCGTTGGCCTTGGAGCAGGGCTGCGTTCTGTTGACCCTCCATTTACAAAGAGACAGATTCTTTACCTCCGTTTCCCTGGTGACCTATTAATGAACATGCTACAGTTGTTAATCCTTCCACTTATCATGTCCAGTCTAGTGTCTGGTCTTGCGTCTCTAGACACCCGGTCATCTGGCCGGATAGGTTTGAGGGCGGTGGTGTATTACTTGACCACTACCCTCGCTGCAGTGGTCCTTGGTATCATCCTGACCGTTAGTATCCGGCCCGGGACCAAGGGAGGGGAAGTCGAACCCTCGGGCGAATCCAAGATCGTGGAGCCTGCAGATACTTTCCTTGATCTCCTCAGGTAGGTTCAGCTATCTTAATATCATCATGTTGTTCCATCTACTACCATCTCAATAATTTCTGAAGGAAGGACAAAAGTCACACTAAAGTAATTGCATCTGAAAAATGGGAAGTGATACAGTATGTAAAAAGGAAAAAAAGTAATTATACTGCACCATACTACTTTTCCGTTCTATTTCTTCTTTGAACATGTTATAAATAATATCAAGAATGATATCAAGGACAGTAACTCATGATGTTAATAAATGGAGGATCCAATCCTGACAGACCTGGTCTTTTCAAAACAAAAAAGATTGGGCAATAATTAACAGCACATGTTGTGATCCTTAGAGAGAACATGCATCATACACAACTGGTTCTATTCACAAAGATAAGATTCTTTGTATCATAATGCCCAATCTGAATTAGCTTTTTGTAGAAAGTAACATAGCATGATGTCCGACAATACTTTATATTATGACGTCAAATTAAAATAAAAATCATTCTATTAAAGCACAACGTAACAAACAGCTGGTACGGACCATACCTTGTTTTGTCTAATATGATTCATGTTCAATATTTTTTACATGTGAGGTTGTTATACAGTGTCATTAGCTAACATCGATAGCGTAAACAATGTGGTTTAAACAGGATGTTCTAAGAAAAACGTTTTGTTCAATTGTTTTTAAGGATATAAAGATTAGAGATAACTAAGCCGTTTTAGATCATTCAAATTGTCAGTACTAATAAATATAGAAAAATAAACGGGAACGAATCCTGAACAACAGGTCCTGACTCAACACGATCACTTCAACAAATTGTAGTAAGATTAAGCTGACATTTTAATTAGCATATTTACCACCACATGCTCATGCAAGTAACACGGCATAATTTCTTGTACGGCTTTTTACATCTTACACTCCTGACACAATTAAAAAGACAACCACAGGTGACGTTGCGTCCGACACAGAATGAATTTAGTTACGCAAGCATTCTCTTAAAACGATGAACAAGATGTTCATACGAAAGGTAGACATAAGCAAATGCCTATTTGTAGTAAATAACATGCCCTTTTCTGTTCTCAGTATCTAGATTTTCTATAAAGGTGTATCCTTTTGACTAATAAAGGTTTTGTACCTGGAAAGTTTAAATATACTCCGCTAAAATTTCAATAAAGCTTTGTGTTCGACTAGAGTCAACATAAAAACCAATATCCATTAATGATACAGTTTTTCCTACGCGAGCGTTTCTGTACCGCGAAAGTTTTCAACAGCCAAACAACGGAAAATTTAGCACGCGAATAATTCCACTTTTTCAGTATTTCAATAATATATACCATTCTACTTGAAATGGTATGACTACATGCAGTACTATGTGTTTGCATTTCCCACAGAGAGACTCAAGAACTTCAATTAATCGCATACGCATTGGAGTTAATATATAAACATTATAGTCAATACATTTCTTATTTTACGCAAACAAAGGAAAGTTTTGTACACCTAGCCTACAGTGCAGTCTCGAAAACCCCAACTCAACTACCTTTGTTCCCAGTGACTGTACAAAGTTAGGCTGTTAGACGGTTTGGTTATATGGCAGGTTTGCATAGAAAAAGATCAAAATAACCCTAGTATTGGTAGTGAGACTTGCTTATTTACTAAAGTCTCAATTAACAAAGAAAGACTTCATTTGTTTTCTAACTAATCTCCTGCATGCCAAGTGTTTAACACCAGTTTGTACATTAAAAAGTAGTAAATAAAGGTAAATATCACGAATGAAAAATAAATCTTTACCCTAAAGCATGTCATTGTAGGTAGGTAAAGAACAAGCTCCATGAGTTTACATGTTATTTTTGTTGGCTATCTTGTAAGTTAAAACTAGATATTGTCAAAAGATAAACGTACAACTGTCTACCAGTAATTGGAGTTGAAAGGGGGTTAATTAGTCGTGAGCGTCAGACATTATGGGACGGTTGAATGACGATAGCTTATGTTAAATATACGTATATTTTGTACAATTAGTTACCAATGTGACACCAATACAAGACCTGACATATCGCCCGTTTAACATTGCAGTTGAGAGACTCTCTAGATCACGTTATACAGTTGGGTACACATCCCGTCCAGTTGACTAGTATTTCCACAAGGTATTATTGACATTACCTGAGAGCTGACCTCGGGCCAATAAATATTATATTCACACAGTTTTATTTTCCTTACCCTCTTCAATAGCTTACTTGGACGATACTCAACGCCGAAGAATTTACATACAACACTTCTGATCTGATAAGGGGTGTTAACAGTTTTATTCAACATAGTACCAACACAAGTCGAGCAATGCCAACATATTTGTACATTTAAGGAAGTTTGTCTAATTAAGCACCCTTTTTCAAGTCACTCAATAGAATTCCCTACGTGAAAAAAGCATGACAACGTTTTGGGGTTATTTCAAACAGCAGCAGTAAAGAAACACCTTTTCAAAGAATAAATAAGTTGATACAGAAATCAAAACAATATTTAGTACTTTGGCTACTTTGTCCACTTCGGCCAAGCGCGTGGTAGTAAGACGCTAGAACAGTTAACCTTTACTTTTCTTTGGATGGCTAGATCAAAGATTAAGACAATTATATTTGTATCACTACAGAACGTTACTGTGTTGGTTTGATAAATATCAACCATTTTATCAAGTCTGTATATATTTTCTTTATTCGGTAATGCAGACATGTACACTTTTCTTAGCCGAGAGTTGTCGTAGGCATCAAGCAGTAAGGCTTACTAAGGTGTATTTTTAGTGTTAAACCTGAACAGAATATGTGTACAGCGTCGACTCGTTTGTGAAAAGGGTTTTATTCACTCCTATTTTATTACAATCTAGCTGAATTGAAATTTTAAGAGGATCAGGAATCCTCGACATTTTCATTCTTGTATCCAAATTTTCACATCAATACAGAAAAAGAGAATCGTCGCCACTCTGGTTTCCTGCACTTTGATTGCATAAGCGTCCGTGGAGGAAGTTGTGTGAATCATAAAGCATTTGATATATTAATTAACATAAATCCTTCACGTTATTTATTTTTTGTCAACAGGCAGGCGTTTGTGAAAAGGGTTTTATTCACACCTATTTTATTACAATCTAGCTGAATTGAAATTTTAAGAGGATCAGGAATCCTCGACATTTTCATTCTTGTTTCCACATTTTCACATCAATACAGAAAAAGAGAATCGTCGCCACTCTGGTTTCCTGCACTTTGATTGCATAAGCGTCCGTGGAGGAAGTTGTGTGAATCATAAAGCATTTGATATATTATTTAACATAAATCCTTCACGTTAATTTTTATTTTTTTGTCAACAGGCAGGCGTTTCCCAGTAACTTGATAGAAGCATGTTTCAGCAAGGTAAGTTTTGATATAACCATAGTTACTTGTGTAAGCGTGTCAATTGTTTGGGGAGTCATACAAACATTATCCGTCGCAAGTTCAGAAGAATCAAGGTTAAAAGATACATTTTATATTAGTCTTGTGCATAATGATAAGTGTTTACAGTATACCGATTGCGAGAAGGACTTCATTGTCTTGTCAGTTAAGACAGTGTGTCGGTAAATACAGGTTTAAAACAGAGAAACCCAGAATGTTGCGACCGTAACAGATTGTTACCAAGGCAGATGCTATTGGATGTCTTTGCAGTCATTCGTCAGTAAAGTGAAATTCCGCTCAATGTTTAGAAAGATAATGTACATTGTGTACTTATCTATATATTTATATGACGTATCTATTTTAATCTTGATAACAGTCGCTGTAGAAACTGAGCACACGGTGTAATACCCGAGGTTGTACGTACATGGCCGACATATTTTGATAATATATGATTTTATCTGATTGAAATTTACTGACTCGTTCGATCTGTTTTGTCTGTCCCGTGTAAACATGTAGATCGAAATTCCAACCTAGAGCTGTCTAAAATAGGTTTTGTAAAATAGAAAGGATATATAGGATTTTCAAAGATACTAATTAAATGTCATTGAGATTTGTTTTACTGACATGCCTCTGGCGTGCTAAATGAAAATTTCTTAAACCTGTAAGTTCAAATCATATTTGATGCAAAAGCAATATTTAAGACAAGTTTTGAGATTGTTTTTCAATTTATTTCTGATTCATATTTGAACTAATTACGATGGTGTGATAAATCAGCCGAAACTAATTTCATGAACCATTGTAATAATTTATAGAACCTTTTCCTGTATTTGCAAAATAGTGGAGGGAGCATGGATTCTTTGTCCTTTCTATCTCTCCATCCGTCTATCTAAACAATATTTGTTAAGACATTGCATTTACTTCCTCTTCTCTAATACTAGAAATAATTATCAAACTTGGACACACCATAGCCGTATGCATGTAGCTAGTGTAGGCTACACGGACTTTGGTTACGATTAGCGTTAGGCTCCACTTCAATATCTATACTTTGTGTTTAGCTCCATCGCCACACAATTGGTAGTCGGACTTATATGCATGTTTTGCAATCATTTCGTGTTTATCTTTTCCATGATACAAACTAATTTTTTAGAGATACACTATATATAGAAATCACCATGTCCGTTCGTTTGCCCACGAACCTTGTAAGCACAACGCCCCCTAAACAGGTTTTTTTGTTTTGTTTTCTGTGTAAGTTAAGACATTGAGAATACATCATATGTAGATGTTGTATCAATAAAGGATTGCGATTACACAATGTTTCCTTGAGTTACGACCCTTTAAACCTAAAATTCTGCTCTAGAAACCTTGTAAGCGCAACTCCTCCTTAACTATGTGTTGGAATTCGTGTGTTATTTGGCACAGTGAAAGTACATCGTATGTAGACATGTTTGAAGGAAGGGATGCATCATATCCCCTGCAAACAATGTTCATACATGTAGTATTTTAAAAAAAGAAATCATTACACTACTTTTTGATTGTTTCTTTTTTCTTTCTTTTTTCTTTCTTTTTTCTTTCTTTTTTCTTTCTTTTTTCTTTCTTTTTTCGACGTCTTATAGTTAAATGTCACGTGATCATGTCCTGAACCTTTTTTTCAATTGCAGCCTGTAACTGACCAGGTTCTCAGAGAAGATGATAACGCCACCGGAGGTGACGTAAATGCTACCGGTATGTTTAATAACACTGATATCACTTTTATATATAAATTTGTGTCAAATTACATAAAGATAAATGAGATTCAAGATCAGGTATCAATACAACCACTGTTAATGTTAAATAAACGTTATTATTTCAAACGTCCTCCTTGTATAAGAAACTTTAATGTGGAATATCATTATTGCGATGTCAACGTTAATTATTAGCATATATTGTCAAAAATATTGATTGAACAGATATACAATAATGTACTAGATCCCATAATAAAGCTTTTTTGATGATTCTGGATTTAACACGCGACCAACGTTTAAATTGTTGTACATCTTTTTTAATTCGCTTTTTGATTATTTTCCTGCATGCTCATGTTGTTCAGTAATAGGCTTTCTCTTTTGAACCACACAAATATATAGGTTTGGTGTTTTCTTAGTTCATGTTGTTGTTAGTGGTGTCAGCTTTCAATTAAGATTTTTCACATTGTTTGTTTACACCATCACATATTTTCCCTAGAAACCCCTATTAGCAATTAAAGTGATAAAAAGATCACACAGTGCCATCTTATTTGTTCAGTGCCATGAGAACACAGACATGGCCTATTGTACTTATGTTGCTTCATTGTGAAGACGGTGTATGTTGTCGTCTGTAGCTGTGTACGACCCTGTGGTGGACATGAAGCCCGGGATGAATGTCCTTGGCATTGTCGTCTTCTCCATCTTCTTTGGAATCATCATCGGTCGACTGGGGGAGAAGGGGAAGCCCCTGATAGCTCTGTTCGAATCTCTGTGTGAAGCCACGATGGTCCTGGTCAAGCTCGTCATATGGTAAGTCACATGGTAAGATTGTAACATGGTAAATCAAAAGTGCAGTTTTATTTTCAACAATAACCGGTTTGTTGATTTAGCTAACACCGATTTATATCTAACCAGGTCAACCCTGTTTGAATTTTGATCAAAAGTCCAACAAACACGTACATAAGCATGCTTATATGTTCGTTAGGTACCACAAATACACATTTTGTACGGAACGAATCAATCTTGACATAATGTGAATCAAATTCATTTAGTGTGCTCCTGAGTTTGTATCCTAAATAGCTGTGACATGCCTCCTGTTTTCAGAAGAGTTTAACAAAGTTCAAGCCATTAAGGATATGTTTTCTGCACCTAACGCGATGTGTCAATGCTATACAGTATTACAAAGCAAAACAAAAATATCTTATATTAACTTTATGATTGGGTTGTCTCTCCTGAAGGTACTCTCCCATAGGTATTATATTCCTGGTGGCGGCGAAAATTGTGGAAATGGAAGATCCAGCCCAGACGTTCCAACAGCTTCTCTACTACTTCATCACCGTTATGGTTGGTCTCGTCATCCATGGTTTCATAACTCTCCCTCTCATTTACTTCATTATTGTCAGAAAAAATCCCTTCCGGTTCATATACGGAGTCACCCAAGCCATCGTCACAGCCATCGGAACGTCATCAAGGTAATGGCATTTCCTGATATAAAATAATTAAGAAGTTTTTAAAGAATATTTACTAAATAATTATTTATGAATCAGATTGATTGATATTAGTTATTGGTTAACCTCATTGTAAAGGAAGACAAATATGATAATTTCTGATTGAATGATAGCTAGAAGATTTCCGTTTACATACACAAGGTGCATGTTACCATTTTGGTGCACCACACCACATTTGCTTGTTCTATTGATTTATAACCAAGACCCAGTTGTTAAAGGATGATTGGCTGAGAAGTGCACATTTTATTTTCCGTGTATCTATTCCGTCTTTGCGTATTGCAGAGTTATCTTCTCTTGTGAGCAGGTATTGATTTTTACGGCATTGGTTTGTGTGAGACAATTACGTCGTTTTCCAAAAAATTGATGACGTTACTCTCACAAACAAATGACGTAACATTCAATCCCTGCTCACAAGAGCAGGTAACTCTGCAATACGCAAAGACGGAATAAATCACTACCAATACGCTTTCGAGAAATAAACTATTTAAGTACAATAAAATCACATGCGATATTTCGAGTCATCTTTTGAATAAATTGGCTCAAATGTCTTATTTCCTCCGGTATCAAGCTTAGGTAATCATTTTTTTCATGCAATGATTTATGTTCCAACAGCTCAGCTACTCTTCCTGTCACGATGAAAAATCTCGAGGAAAACAATGGCTTAGATCCCCGTGTGATCAAATTTGTGGCTCCCGTTGGAGCGACCATCAACATGGACGGAACAGCACTCTACGAAGCCGTGGCAGTCCTCTTCATTGGACAAATCAGAGGATTTGAGATGGACATCGGACGAATCATTACCGTCAGGTTTATATTTAAACAACTCGTGGTGATCATGAAACATTTAGAAGTAAAGTGCATTCTGTAAATCACTTTAGTTTCGTGAGTACTTTATTTCGTAAACAATGTTTGAAAATTATATTCGCGAATAGTTGCGGTTCATATGATTCTTTTTTTTTTGCAATAATGCTACTTCTTTTCATGAAGTTTTTAAACTCAGGAATGAGTCGCCTTGCACCAAAAATATTATCCCACGACAATAGAGATTTACAGTAGTAAAAAGTCGCGATCATAATATTATTCTAGAATTTAAATTTGTTCTTTTGGCGATTCATATGAATACAAAATGATTTTGTGGTATGTGCGAAAGTGATTGACATCCGATCAGAATGCACGTAGGTGTGAGCATATACTACTTTCATATGTAAGGCAAAATATTGCAAAAGAAAGCATACAAATAACCCAAATATGTCACATGTCTTATGTTACTTGTAGTATTACTGCTACTGCTGCCGCCATCGGTGCCGCCGGAGTGCCGCAGGCAGGTCTTGTCACTATGGTGATCGTTCTGACGGCGGTTGGCTTCCCGACTGATGACGTCACTTTGATTCTAGCTATCGATTGGTTGCTGTAAGTACGCAAGCTATACTATTTTATACATCGTGCATCTGAACGTTATATTTTAAACCAAACCCATTTTTGTGATTGACTGTGTGTAAGCTTACAAAGTAGAGGGATAATCGATAACTTTGATGTTAAGAAATCCTGAAAGCTGTACTTACACTGATGTTCACAGGGAAATTAGGACGGAGTGTTTCTTAAAAGAATAGAGAAAGGAAAATATTTGATTTCAAGTATTACAAATGATGCATCATACATGATGTTTGTATAACGCCCACTATCAAAATGATCAGCGATCTTTTTAAGATCCAGATATTTCGGGACAAATCTAAAATCACAACAGTTACGTTTATCCATTTGAACACTTCAGTAAAAAGGCCAATAACTCCTGTTCAAATCTGATGCAATGTTTAAATCGTTCATCGTCTTCGTTCCCTTTCCTGGGCCTATCTTTGTCATACTATTTAAACAATGATGGCTTAAGAGGACCGGATTGTTTATATTCCCCTTTACATTTTAAATTTCGACATTACAACCCCTTATTTTCTCAAATTTACCAAGTATGGGGACAACTCGCTTTCTGTTGTCTCTTTAGGGAACAATTCATTCCTTGCTGAACATGTATTTGATTATTTGATAAATAGAAAATCTAATCACATCAGAAAAACAACTATATGCCGAGTGTTGTATAACAAACGTAAGAAAATATTGAGAAAATTAGGCATTGATTACCTTAATCTCCTGCTTTAAGAGGAATGGCGAATTTGATATGTCTTGAAACCAAGTCAACGCCTGTCTATGGCCAGATCAGTCAAAAAAATGAACGTTAATGGTTGTCCTGCAATTCGTTTATTGTATTAGAAAATTAAATAGCTCGATAGAAAAAACAATAATATATATTTCAAACTGACAGATCGGAATGATGATTATCAATACTTTTTGTCAGCACAAACATTTATGGATAATCTCGTATGATCTCGTGATGTTTCGTGCTTAGCCACCATGAAATGTTTTAGCTAAACAACTTACTATGTAGTAAAACAAACTAATTAACATAAAGATGAACATAGTTAAAGAGATTTTAAAACCAGAAATTAGGTTTTGAACTAATGCTTTATTTCTTCCATCAGGGACCGTTTCCGGACTGCTGTAAATGTAATGGGAGATGCTATTGGCGCAGGAATAGTCAATCACCTATCACAGAAGGAGCTGAGAAAGATGGATCTTCTGGACTCCGTGGAGGACACAGAAAATGGAGTTCTTAACGTTGGTTATGATGAAGCGGATATCAAATTATAGGACGCATCTATTAAACTTTGTCTTATCAAAATGATATCCGTTCTTTTACTTTGAGATACATGACTAAGCTAGTGTGCTAGGATATACTACTGCTATTAACCTTGTATTGCAAAATTGTTGTCTGGCGATTGGTCATTGAATATTAGACAGACATATACCTTATTTTGTACAAATAATCTTAATTACAACAACCTAGCAATGTGAAGCTATAACGCACTTGTAATGCCATACAGTAACTGTTTACTGCACTAAATGTCCGTACCGCCCTTTAAGACCTCACTGATAGTACCAAAGGTCAAAAGAAGGTTCTAAAAAATAAGAAGATATAAAACAAAGGGAGAAAGGTGCCTATACAATTGTTACAATTTTGTAAATGTTGGCTACAACAGATCATTTAGTCTTAAAGTAATTGTTAAAGTAAATGGCTCCATGATACAAATTATGGGATATCTCATGTGCAGGTGATAGTTAGTCCTCCAACTGAGTGATCAATGTATTTGAAAATAACCCTTGATATCTACGACAAGAAAAGACTATATGTAACACGTGAACAATTGCACTCGAAATGGTATTTCGTCTAGTTATTTTAGTTACATGTAATAGGTATAGTCACTACAATTCTATATAACGACATCAAGGATGCGCCACCGGAAGTTTCAGCTTACTTCGGTGTTGAAAGGACTCACACAACTAAATCATTTACTATATATTATTACCAAACATTTTAGCTAATAACTTTAATATTTGAAGTTCAAAACTAGTGACAACTGTCTAGATTCATAAATACATACCTTGCAAAGGCTACAAAATGACTTTTTTGGTAGGTTTAGTGGCATATTGGAGTGTCACAGCGCCAAGAAGTTGACAACCGGAAGTTTACAAGCAAAACCGGTGACCCAAAACAGAAACGCCCCCAGACATTTAGCCCCTGTGCAAATCCGCACACAGACATGGAAATATATCAAAAGTATATATTTTTCAAAAGTTAAATACCTGAACATTTCATTTATCTAAAAATCTGTCATCAGTTCCTTATTAAACTCCTTCAGTGGCCCAGTAATTAGCCGGAACTTATTTCAAATAGGAACTACAAACGTATGAAACACTTGCTGATTGGCTGATTTAGTTGTGTGAGTCCTTAAAGGAAAACTTTACATTTTAAAATGTTGAAATGAAGTCTGTTTTTGAAAGTATATACATAACCGAGTAAAATGGTTAAGTTTGGTGGAAATAAAATGATAAGGTATGAAGAAAAACCAAGTCATAGCCCCTGATATACATGTGCTATTCAGAGACAGCACCAAACAATTCTCATTTCACTTACTTAACATTAACCTCTAGCACACCAATTTAGCACACACTCAGCAATTTCATATTTTGCACACACATTTATTACCCATACCATTCACATATTTTTGAAAAGAAATCTTGGTGACTCAGTTTCTGTAACTTTTACTGTATCTTAAGCAATCAAATACTTAATTTGAGTAAATTTGATAGAATTTGGACAATTTAACACACTTAAAATTCACACAAAACTCCAAAATTCTACACAAAACATGAGTCATAAAAGGTTATCAGATATCCATCTCAACTGATCAGCTATCAATTATACAGACTAACATATAGCACGCCTTGCTCCCTGGGGTGCCGGCACTTTACAGGGAGAATTTTGGGGGTAGGGGAGATGTAATGCTATAAACAGTTAATTATCTGAGTAAACACACAACAGAAACACATTAAATCAATAAACAAGATGTTGGTGAAGGTATATAGTAAGACAGGAATAACCATACATCTACAATTCACTAAAAAAATGGAATTTAAGTTGGATTTAGCCAAAAAACCTATATGTGACACATACACATACAGATACTCACATGTGCAACTTTTGTAAAAGCTTGTTCTGTGGTGCTGAGGGGCTACTTGCTGTTCATAGTCTTGTTGCGCATGGTATAACTGTTATATAGAGACACACAACCTATGACAAAATGAAAAATTCAAAAACCATAAGACTCAACAAAAAACATGTTCAAATCTGGAGGGTCTGAATATGAAACTATGACAGTACAACTTCAGTCAGAAGCCAGCTAACAACTATCATACACTTGGAATGACCACATTTATTATACCGAACAATAAAATGGTGTTTAATGCTGAATTGTGCTTTAAAAAGTGTGAATAATGTGCTATGTAACTTGTGCTAAAATCTGTGGTGTACTTTTACACATGGGGGTATGCTGAAACAGGTTATTTAAGTTTCAATTTGAAACTTTTTAGTGATATTGAGTTTTTAAACTAGAATTTAATCATTGCTTTCTTTTAAACATAGATAAAAATGTAATTTGAATGAGGGAAGTGGCCTAAGAATGGCTGAGAAGAGGTGGTTGGACAGGGTGGGGGAGAGGGGGGGGTGAAAATTGTGCAGGACAGCACACTATATTTCTGTTCTATGAAGATTTAGGTGCTAAAAGCTAGTACACAGATCATAATAGTACTATTGAAACACATACAGATTTATTATTTCAGTAAATTGAACACAATCCTAATAAAAACCTGAGTATTAGGGTCAGTCCAACTATACTGGCTTTAGCACAGAGCCATATTTAGCCCAGATTTAACCCAATTATCAAGTTTTATCAAGTTAAATATATATTCACATACTGAACAAAATGTGCTAAGACCCAATAAAAGTGTATGTATATAAAAAAAAACTGTCTGGAAACACAGAAAATGTGTGAGAGGTCAGGTTCATTGAGCACATGGCTATTTACCTTAAAGGACTCACACAACTAAATCATTTACTATATATTATTACCAAACATTTTAGCTAATAACTTTAATATTTGAAGTTCAAAACTAGTGACAACTGTCTAGATTCATAAATACATACCTTGCAAAGGCTACAAAATGACTTTTTTGGTAGGTTTAGTGGCATATTGGAGTGTCACAGCGCCAAGAAGTTGACAACCGGAAGTTTACAAGCAAAACCGGTGACCCAAAACAGAAACGCCCCCAGACATTTAGCCCCTGTGCAAATCCGCACACAGACATGGAAATATATCAAAAGTATATATTTTTCAAAAGTTAAATACCTGAACATTTCATTTATCTAAAAATCTGTCATCAGTTCCTTATTAAACTCCTTCAGTGGCCCAGTAATTAGCCGGAACTTATTTCAAATAGGAACAACAAACGTATGAAACACTTGCTGATTGGCTGATTTAGTTGTGTGAGTCCTGAAACAGCGTAACTTTGGCGTCTCTGGAATTTTACGAGACGGCTCGGCGAGAGAAATCCTGTTGTGAAATCCTGTTGTGAAATCCTCTTGAATATTCATTGTATACATTATGTTATCGCCAACGCCAAAGAATCCGCAGGTAAACCACGCCTAAAGGGAAATGTATCCTCTCTTAACACGTCACGTGCTTGCTTATTAGCTAGTTAGTTATGAAATCATTATATAATAATGACAGCATATATCAAACATCAATATCAATGGCAACCAGGCCAATCATGATTTGTTATGTTGGCAAAGTTAAATGACAAGAATACTACTGTACGTACTTACTATAGCGAACTTTAGTTCTTGTTCATAATCGAATATAAACAGATTAGCGTAATGGTGAAATTGCGCAACCCGGACAGATGCATCGGAGAAGAACATACAACCTAAACTGGCACATGTATAATTAAGCGCAATAATAAAAGGTCAAAAATAACCAAAATTAGAAAAACCGCTTAAATATGTACGTTTACTTTTTTTTTATTGAATTTTAAAGTCCAGAAAAATAAAATATCAATGTGTGACCATGTTAGGAATTTCCTGGTTACTATGATTATCAGGAGTGTCGTCAGTATATAATTGAACATCATTGTCTACCACAATATACTGGACAACTAATAAAGCTCTGTCATATCATGGGAAAATATCCTCTGAAATAGAAATTACTGATTTCAATGTTTATACAGATTCTTGTCTGGGAAGTTGGTATAATAATAATTGAAAATACCAAATTTGCACTCAATACAGATAATGAACAAATTTCACAAAAGCGTTCGGTTTGAGGTTAAATTTGGTGTGCAGATCAATTGAAAAAATATCAGAATTAAAATAATCAATTCTGAACTGATTGAATATGGTTACAAACCTGGAAACAAGATTGACCATTTCACAAGTGCCATGTAGTTTAGCTAAAAGTAGCTTTGTTGAGTATTACTGAATTGCTGTAAGATTTACTAGTATGTACATTTATCAATAAGATACTTGTAAAGATTTATTACTTTGAAATAAAATAAAATGATTAAATAAACATTAAACTCGTTGACTTTGATTGTTTTGCATGAACAACTTTCATTGTATAAATGTACATGCACATGAAGTGTTTCACGTAACAACAATTTGAGTCCAGTTGTTCAAAAGGTGTTTAGTTTTTCAGTCTAACGACATGTTTCACCCTCTAATAATTGAGGTAATATACATGGACATGACTCGTATTTTTGCATGTAATTTCTCTGTCTGTCGAAAAGTTGTTTTGAAGATACACAGAAAATAATATTAGCACTAATTGCTGATCAAGCTAATCACCTTTTGAACTACTGGGCCATGGATCACTATCCGAGCACTTGCTTCCGCAGTAACCAAATCGAAAGAAACACCATTAACCGACACATACAAACGAAGACAAAACCAGATGTTCTATAAGGGTATAGGTTCTCTGTCCAACATGTGGCACCCGTCATATCCTGTCCCAAATGAGGCACCCATAATTCCCTATCCCATATGTGACACCCGCAATTCCCTGTCCCATATATCGCAACCGTCAGTCTCTCTCTCACATTTGGCACCCGTCATATCCTGTTCCTCATATGGCACCCGTCATAACCTGTCCATCATATGGCACCCGTCATTTCCTATCCAACATGTGACACTAGTCATATCCTCTCCTACATTTCGCATCCATCATTACCTGTCCCATATGTGGCATCCGTCATTCCCTGTCCCACATTTGGCACCCGTCATTTCCTGTACCACATGTGTTACCTGTTATTATGTCACTTATAATCTCAGACAAAAAGGAAGTGAAATATGATATGAGAGAAGTAGTTTGAAGTACATGTATCAGTGATAAATTACAAAATCAAAACTCCGGTTTGACAAAACAGAAACAAAACAAAAACAGAACCTGGAATGCAGTATTAAAGGAAACAAATTATGACTTTACATAACAACTGTCACTTATCCTTACATTAGATATCCACGACCTTCATAGCCCAGACACAAACAGTAGTTTATATTATATACTACTTATAAGGAAGGAGGCGTGTTTATAAGGAGCAAAACGTATAATACTCCAACAGTTATAGCCATCACATTGATATTCTTACTCCCTTTGCCCAAAGGATAATTCAGTTTAAATACACGACTTCGGTCTACTTTCTGAGCGACCCAAGCCTTGTTTCAAATTATATTGAAATGTCACATCAAGAAATATTGAAACTAGCAGAAGGCCTGTTTCTTTAATGTTATGTACGTAAAGTTGCATATCCAATAAAAGACTCTCCATCGATTTTAGTCTACGTGCATACAGATACATAGATTAAATTGAATCAATCAATGGTTTGATGCTACCTACATTTTCGTGAAGGGATGTCTCTACCATACAATGTATGGTTTTGTTTTTATATACGTATATAGGATCCTTTGACAAATAATTGTTCCGATCTTTTTCGTTTATCCATTAAGAATGCT